CTATAATTCATGAATCCCTCATGGATTGGTGGGACCGAGTAGTTAAGTTAAGAAGGAACAATAGTCCTTGGCGAGGCCTAGAGCTCATGAGCATAACTATGTAGAATATTTAGAAAAAAATAAAGAAATGATAAAATCTTCCAGTCTCCTCCTCATCACCTACTGCTAGATAAAATTAGAAATGAATTCTGAGTATAAAACAAGGCCCATAATTGGCATAATCCTTATGCTTTTGAAATCACACAAAACAGAAAGAACTACAAATAAACAAACGAACAAATAAATAGTAATAGCATGAACTAGAGATTAAAAGTATACAAAGCAAAATTACAGTAGAGAGATATTTACAAGCAATAGCAAAACTAAAGGGGGGGGGGGGGACTGTGAACTTAAAATATGATGGAGCTAGCTTACAAGTAATAGCTGAAGCAACCTGATGGTTCAGCAGTGAAACTTTAAGACAGGGAGTAAAAGGATGCAATACTAATAAAAAAAAGATGCTTGGGAAAGAATCAAATGAGGCTAAATAAACCAAACAATGAGGTAAAGAGTTAATATGACAATTGTATGCCGCTACCGTAATTACGAGGGGATGATGGAATAAGGTAAACAAAAGTGACAAACAAATAATTTATACAAGAATTCATATTTATACAATAAATTCTTGTATAAATGTATGGTCAATGATACGTAGAGAAAGAATAGCAAAATTTCAACAATATTAACTCCTAGTCCAGACCTAAGTATTTTTTTTTAATGATTTGGATCAGATTCTTCTAATGTAGAAATGATCTAGACCTATTTTTTGACGAATATTGCAAATATGAATCAACCAATTCTGCTACGCTACTCTAGTATGAACATATAAAGCCAGATATATATATATATATATATATATATATATATATATGAACATATAAATCAAGATTAAATACAGAGATAAACATACGTATAAGTATATAGCAAAAAGAAAAGAAAAGCTAGATAGACAAGAGGTTTCAGGACTTCCCTTGATTGCAGTTCGACACAACCAAATGAATAGTCTCTTGTTTTTTTTTTTTTTTTTAATTCTTTCATAAAATGGTGTGACTGGAAGCGTTGCCAAGGTGCATTGGCGTCACGTCTAGATACGTCTCATGTTTGAGCGTCTTGGTTGACTTGGGGAAGATGGTGGGTTGTGAAGCAGCCCTGTTGTGAAGCTGATTGATCGGTTGAGATGTTGGTTGCCCCAATGGAGTGAGAGAACAGTAGAGAGGTTGATGAAACTTGATTAATCCGAACTTGGACGCTGAATGCTGGTGAGGACCTTGAAGAAGCAGATGTCTTTTTTTTTTTTTTTTTTTTTTTCAGGGCTGATTTCAGGGATTTTAAGAGGGTTGTCAAGAGACGTTGGGGAGAGGAAAGCAAGAAAAGGAAAGGGGAAGATGAGAGAGATTTTGGGAGCAAGAATGGTAAGTAAGACGGGAATTAAAATAGGAAAGAAAAAAAACAGAGGAGATACGGTGATAAATAGAGGGAGAATGAAAGGGATGAATAATAAGGGGGAGGAGAGGGAGTGACGGAGAGAATAAAGGCGAAGAGGGTGAGACAAAACGGGGGAAGATGAAAGTGGGCCCCACTGGGGTCAAAAATAAAAGAAATAAAAAAAGGGGTTCACTACTTACATTTTGCCCCTCTTTGCACTAGTTGTCTGTAGTGAGTGGCAAAGAACCTAGGTGATTAAATGGGATTTCAAGTTTTAGTGGGAAGGTGCAACTAGAGAGAGGTTGCCCCTCTTGGATGCCCCGTGTGGAAGCACGTGGCAGCCAAGAAGAGAGAGGAGTAGGGACAAGGAACTGCAATGATGTCAGACCTATTCGAGTGGTCATTCTGGATGACCCTTCCCCCTCTTTCTCTCTTGTCCTATTCGAATTCGATCCGTTTAGAAGTCTATTTACATGCATGTGTTCAGAGAAGCGAATTTTGTGATGGACCGGCAAACAAACTTGGGTTGTAGGACTATGGGTTATAGTTCAAGCATATCTGACACTAAGTTGTCCTTTATTTGCTTTTTCAATGCTTGGGGGCATTTAACCAAGTGCCACTTACTATCAAGAGAGAGAGAGAGAGAGAAGAGAGTAATGCTTGTTGTCGAAAAATCTGAAGAAAATAAGGCTGAAAATTTTGTATGCAAAGCCTTTCATAAAATCACAAGGGTCCTGAATCTATTGATATTGGCCTTGTGTGAAGACTGGAGTCCAACAAAAGCACAGGGGCTCTAAAGCAGAGTTTGGGTGTGCTTAAAAATAAATAAATAAATGCTTATTCAAATAACCACTTATTTTGGGTGAATAATACCAATAAACAGTTATTTGTGTTTGAAAAATAAGCTTGAATAATTTATTGTTATTGATAATAATAAGCACTTATTTAAGAAGCCTTCAAATTTGGGCTTATTTTTAAGTGTTTATTTCCTTTTTTTGCCTGTCTTGGCCTGCCATGTCGTTTTGAAAATACCTATGCTACTCCTATTTTAAAATAAATGCATTTTCATCAAATGTTCATAAGCGCTAATAAGCACTCGCAAATTAACTCTGCCTAAATTTGTAGGCACATACGTTCCCAATGTTCATAATGCATTAATGTGTGGTTGGATGCCATGCTTTTAGAATGTGCACAAAGCTTTTGATTGTAATAGAGGATTTTTTTTTTTAATGTGGGCGCCACTCTGATGATGATGATGAAGAGGGTAGATGGCAGATTAGTGGAGTTCATATTTTGACATGAATAAAAAAAACAAATTATAATGAAACATTATATACATGAGTATGGGCTAGAAACATGTTGAGATTAACTCCCAAAAAAAAGAAGAAAAAGGTACTAATCAATTTTTACGTGGGAGTGGAAATTGATCCCATTCCATACAACAGTTGAAAGCCATTAACGGTTCCTATACCATACACACACAAAAAAAATATTTCTTATTCTTTTAATTCACTGCCAAGGTTAACAACCTAGCCACAAACAGAATCTGAATATTCAATAATGTTTTGTAATCTAAAAATTGTTCTAAGGTAGTGTATTAATAATCTGAAAAAAAAATCACTTATTATAACGGTTGAGAGCCATTAATAGTCTAAGTAAGAGGAAAGGTGGCCAAAGTGAGGTGAATATGGGGGTATATGGGGGCATTTTTAGGTATTTTTGTGGGTTTTCAGGGTCAAAATGGTCCAAATGAAGTGAGTTTGGGGGTATTCTAAGAAGAAGGGAGGGTAAGGGGGTATTTTGGATATTTTGAGGTTTCCAGGGATATTCTTGTAAAAGTCGTAAGAATAGAATATTCTCATCTAAGGGTTGGCAGATTTGAGTGGCCAAGATTACTTCTGGACAGGTTATTGTGTTATTACTATACGGCAAGGAAATTGTGTATGCCAACGATAACTTGTAAAATAGAATCTTATTTGGTTTTAAAGCTATGAATGGAGTTTTTAGATGAAATTTGGTAGGGTGGGATTTTCGAGGGATCAAACGGGTCTAAAGAGGTTTGCATCTAGGGGATTTATGAGATCATGATTCCTAAACAATGAAAATAGCTGAAAAGGAATCTTACTTTGATCAAGGGTTAAATGGAGGAGCATTAAGATGAAACTTGATAGGCAAGGCTTTTAGGGTACGTAGAGTATTCTTCCTCTTATGTTCCCCTTCATATCCTCACTCATTTCTTATGTTCTTTCATTTCTTTTATTCTTCCTCTTTTCCTCTTCCACACACCATTTTCTTCTCCACCTTTGGCCAGTTAGTTGCCATCAGTCTTTGTGTTTCGTTATTTCCTTGTTTTGTTCATAGTTTTATTCCTCTCCATGTTCTTTCTTCCATTTATTCTCTTGCTTTTATCCTTCCCTACTATGTTCTTCATCATTTTCTTATTCTATTGCCATTGGCCACTCCTTTTCTTTTTTCTTCGTCCTCTATTTCTCCTATTCTCCCCTTCGTTACTAATCAAAGAAATGGGGCAACACTACCCCATGCAGCTCTTCTTTATGATAGCCATGCTTTGGGCCACTACCATCCAAGCCAACATTCCAGTTTTTCAGCTATGGTGGAATGTTGGTGCGTATGGAGGCAATAGTGTTGTTGAAAATAAGGATTTCATTATCTTGAGAGAAGGAGAGACAAGATTTCAATTTTTTATATTTTAACTGATTATCCGATAAACTAGGGGTGCAACTTGGGTGGGTTGGTCTGGGTTGAGGGTTAACCTAAGCCCAACCCTAAAAGTGCAAACATTTAGATCGAGCTTGATCTAACCCGAGGTCAAACCTGAGTTTATCGATCTAGGCTCAACCTAACATAACTTGGGTTGGGTTAGGCCAAACTTAGTCATGTTTGGGTGGATTGGTTTGATTTGAAATAATTTATGAACATATTTTTGTATAACTATCTTGGCTTTATGGCTTATGGCTGTGTTTGGTTTGAAGGAAAAAATAAGGAAAAGAAGAAAAAGGGGTAAGGAAATTTTTATAAACCTTATATAGATTTCCCTACCTTTTTTCCTTCAAACAAAACATAGCTTAAGAGTAGAATTGATTGAAAAATATACAAATTTTAAAAGCTCTTATACATATTTTATAGATGCATGTTTACATAGTTAGATAAAATTTTTATATAGACAAAATGCATGTATTTAACAATTTATGTATTTCTTGGGTGTATCGGGTTGGATAGGGCTAGGTTGAGTTGGGCTGGGCTCAGGCTATCTGAGGCCTCAACCCAAGTCCATTTCTGATTCAGGCCCAACCCGTGCAAAACTCAGGTTGGATCAGATCGGAGTCGGACAACCCGCTCAAATTGCATCCCTACGGTACACGAGTAATCACTTTTACTATTACCCAAAAATAAAAAAAGAGTAATCACTTTTACGTGTCGAGTTTGGGTTGGAATCGAAGAGAAAAATCATTCGACTTCAAACGCTGATGATTCGGACCGTAGCTCTTTGTACACGTCTTATTTATAGGAGATGGTTAATGGCTAATGCTGCCCACGTTCAATAGCTACAGGTCATCGACTCGACCTCCACAGCTCCACTTGCTGGTCGAGGCGGAGGGGACGTCACCGAAGAAGTGAGTTGAGATGATAGCACTGCAGAGTGCCGACGGTGGCTAGGCAAAGAAGAGGAGTACGAGGGAAACAGAAGTCACCAGAGAAGGGGAAGCTGCGATTTTTAGCGATGCCGGCCACTGAAAAGTAACGCCGGTTAGTGTCTCACACATACAAGGAGTCTGCCACGCTTAAAGGCGACGTGGCAAACTTTGAGGGGTGATACTAGGGATTGATTTCCTAGAGTGATACCAGAGGATCCGGATCCCGTCTCCTTTCGATGTATGTCGTCTGTTAGTTTTTCACGGACAGAAACGACGGTATGATCTCCTGCACAATCCTTCCTGAAGAGCTTCCTGTACGTTTCTAACGTCCTCCCTGTTTTTAATATATTAAAAATTAAAACAAATAAAAAAATGGATTAGTGTTTCTTTTTCCTATTTCGTTCAAATAGAAAACAAGAATTTACAGAGCTGAGCAGAAAAAATCGCGAATAAGAGTTCCGACTTCCGACTTCCGAGAATTAAACGCCTGAAGCTGAGACGATTCTCTGACTGATTACCAACCGGAATCAACAATCGAGGTAAGGTATTTAATTGACCTCGATTTTAATTGTCGATAACCATACCTGTCGCTGTCGTTATCATAATTCTGTTGATTATGTTTGGAATTTTCATCCGCCATTATGCTGATGATGAATAAGAAGTCCATGGTTTAGTGGGCAAAAATTCAATTTCAGTATGGAACTACGACGGGAAATTAGCTTTCAAAGATATAGTAATGGCCACTGAAAATTTCAATGAAACATACTGTATAGGGAAGGGAGGACAAGGGAGTGTATATAAAGCAAAGCTTCCCGGTGGAGATGTTGTTTCTGTAAAGCGTCTTCATTCATCCACGTCTGATGAAAATACATCTCAAGGTGATGACTGGAAGAAGAATTTTGAGTCTGAGATACGAGCTCTAACAGAAATTCGATATCGAAACATTATAAAGATGCATGGATTCTGCTTAAACAAGGAGTTTGCGTTTGTAGTGTACGGGTACCTGGAGAGGGGAAGCTTGGGCAGTTTTCTAAATGACTAGGAAGATGAAAAAGAAAGCTCTGTAAATTATTGTTTTTTTATTTGAACGAAATAGGAAAAAGAAACCCTAACCCATATTTTTTATTTGCTTTAAAATTTTAATATATTAAAAACAGGGAGGACGTTTGAAACATCTGTTACTCCCACTCGCGCATGTGAAATTTAAGCACGAGAGAGTGCTGACATGGCACTCTCTGATTTGATGTACAGGAAGCTCTTCGGGAAGGATTGTGCAGGAGATCCGGACTCATATCAAGGGGCAATTGGAACAACAAGCTCACCATTCTTCCTTTTTTTTTTTAATCAGGTTTGGTGGACAGCTTCTTAGTTGCGTGTTCTTGCTTTTTTTTCACCCATGTTTTTACGATCTTGGAACATATTAGTACTGTACAATAGGGATTGGGTATGGTTTTTCTTTCAACTTATTAAATTATTTAGTTTTGATACGGTTAGTTCGTTCTTATCAAGGGTTTTTCTTCATCTTGAAAATATATGTATATATGCTCCAACATTTGGAATTTGTTTGATTTGATTTATTGTAACATGTGTTGGAGGGAGGGGGGATTCTAGGTCTCAATTTATGTGGGCTCTAGTATTATGACATTTTAGTTCATTGTAAAAAAAAATGTCAGAGTGTTGATATTAATTCATTTTGCTCCGGTATAATTCTAACTTTGTTTTTTGGTACTTGAAAGAATTGTCAGTTGCTTTTCTATTTTTTTTTTTCATTGATCGTCAATTGGTGCTAAATGACAGAAATGTTTCTCTTTTTCCTCCTTTTGCTTAGTGTGAAGCTGTAAGTACAACATGAGGGAAATGTCAGGCAACACATCACATGATACCCGCGACGAAGGTTAGTTAACTGTTTGAATTGTAAAATAATAATATGTTCATATCGTGCACCACAATTGACAAAAAAATGTGCATCATAGCCCTCTCTAGTTTTTGTTTGTTGGTGCAGAAAGTTACTGTTCCAAGGGACTTATAAATAAATAAGGAAACTAATTTCTTGTTAGTGTTAGGAGGTCGTGTAGCCATACATAGCATTTGAATCCAAACTATTTCACTTCAGGTTGTTATGAAGTTGTAAACAAGTTCACTCTCGAATAAACTTGAAGTTACTCAATTACAATATTTTATTAGTGTAAGTGGTGTGGTAAGGTTAAGTGTGGTGGTCTCCTTGATGGACGAAGGAAGGCTAGGAGCAAAGGGTAGGCTACAAGCTTCTACTGACAAAGTCATGTTTGTTATGATTTACACACCCCTTTTACAAGGGGAGATACCGAGGTCCTGAAGGGAAGGAGCCAAAAGGATATGACTCCTATTTGGGAAGGGAATTTTCGATATGGTGTCGGTTGTTAGGGGGACATTGCTAGGTGTTCGCCACGTGTCTCATGAGATCTTTCCAGGACGAAGCTTCCTTTCGTCTAAGGATTCTTATAATACACATGTGCTACTTCCTTTCGCAGATCTCCTATTATTGGCATGATGTGGGTGGTGTTAGGACTAGTCTGACGTGTCTTGCTTAATCTTACTGGATGCCTTGTTATGAGCAACTTTGGTTGATGATATTTTCGTCCATCACCGGTCTGTGGTGGCTTTGATCTCATCGCAGGCTCGTGATGAGTTATGAACTCGTCGCGGGTCCTCGTTGGCTTGTTTGTCGCAACGGATTTTTCTGTGGTTCTTGTTTGGGTGACTTCATTGCCATCACAGTCATGGTGAACAACATGCATTTACAAGTAGCTCCCCTGTTTATTGGTAAGAGTAAGCTTATCAATAAGCATTTGTTTCGTTGGTGCATTTTGAAAGGCTATAGTGGGGTGAGGAATTTGTTTTGAATTAGGGGGTTTTGGGAGGATGCAATTGTGAGTTTGGGGTCTTCTAGTATTCATGCGATTGGTCTGTTTTCACTTTGAGGTCTGGCTTATCTCTTGCATCGGGCCCCTTGTTTCTTGGCCGGAAGGCTTCTGTGAAAAGTCATGGGTGTCGTTGTTTCTGGTTTTGTAGCCCCCACGACTTTCGACATGAGGCTTCCTGGCAAGGAACATGTACTCACTTGGTTGGGCTGTGTGAGCGTCCCTGTTTTTGGAAATGGTACATTGTGGTGATATGTTTTGATTTGGTGGATTAGCCCCCTTGTTTATTGGTAAGAATATTCTTACCAATAAGTATTTCTATGGTTGATGCATCCTAGTATTGTTTGGACTATCGTGGTCGACATGTGGGGGAAAAGTTGCTTTGAGCTCATTTTCGGATGGTTGTTGGTTATCTCTTTGGGTTTTGGCATTGAGTGCATGCTCCTGGTTATTTTGGCTCTTGGGGTCCATTATTTGGAGTTCATGTTTGTTGAAATTGATTTTTGTGTATTCAGCCCCCTGTTTCTCGATAGGAAGCATTTTGTCAAAAGACATTTTTGGCTATAGTTTGGTTCTCAACCCCCTTGTCTTTTGGTAGAAGTGCTTTCAGTCGGGAAACATTGTGAACACTTGTGTATCTGGGGGTGGTGGTTTTATCCCCCCTGTGTATTGGTGAGGTATATTTGGTTCCCAGTGGTTTGTGACTTTGTGTGTGTTTTGGTTTCTGGGGAGGTCTATTGGAGGGTGGATTTTGGAGCACGAGCATGGACTGGGTTTTGTTGTGGTTCTCTTCCATCAAGCCTTGGACATATTCCTTTATCTCGATTAGATTGATGGGCATCTTCATTGTTGTATTATCTCGTGGGATCATATGAGGCTGTTCAACGACGGAGAAGTGTGTTCTTTGTGTTGTGTCTGCTGCAGGCGCATGCTTGGCTATGGGGGATGCTTAGTCATTCCGAGGTTCAAGTTTCCTGGGTGGTTGGCAGGGGCGGACACAGAAGGGCCAGCGGGTGTGAATGGAGAATATTCAGCTGCTGTCATCTTTTGTAAAAGTAGTTGCAGGGTGTTTCTCATTTAGGCCTGCATCTGCTCCAATCGATTGAAATGAGTTTCAAAGTCGTACACCTTATTGGCCAGGATTTCAATATCAGCCTGTTCGGTGGATTCTTGACCAATCTGATCCCCGACTTCTGGGTTGGCATTCTTGTAGTCGTTAGGTTGTTCTTTTGGGACAAGGAAAAGGTTGATTCTAAGGCTAAGTGTGGCGGTCTCCTTGAAGGACAAAGGAAGGCTAGGAGCAAAGAGTAGGCTACAAACTTTTATTGACAGAGTTGTGTCTGTTATGATTCACACACCCCTTTTATAAGGGGAGATCCTGAGGTCCTAAAGGGAAGGAGCCAAAAGGATTTGACTCCTATTTGGAAAGGGGATCTTCAATACGGTGTTGGTTGTTAGGGGGACACTGCTAGGGGTATGCCACATGTCTCATGAGATCTTTCCAGGATGAAGTTTCCTTTCTTTCGAGGATTCTCATAATACACTTGTGCTACTTCCTTTTGCGGGTCTCCTAAATTGGCGTGGCATGGGTGGCGTCAGGACTAGTCTGACGTGTCCTGCTTAATCTTATTGGATGTACTGTTATAAGCAACTTTGGTTTATGGTATTTTCGTCCATCGCCTGTTTGTGGTGGCTTCGAGCTCATCGCAGGTTTGTGGTGGCTTTGAGCTCATAGCAGGTTCGTGACAAGTTATGAACTCGTCGCGGATCCTCGTTGGCTTGTGTGTCGCCATGGGTGTTTCTATGGTTCTAGTTTGGTGCCTTCATTGCCATCACAATCATGGTGAACAACATGTACTTACAATTAGTGATTTGGAAATTTCTGATTTTAGATGGCAAATTTTGTGATTTTAATGTAAAGAGAAACCACAATGTCATCATTTCATTTCAATCCACCTATTTTTGTTTATCAATAAAAAATTCTACTCGATTTCAAAACTGAATTTGTTTGAGTAACCATTGATCGGGGAGAAGGGGAGCAGCAATAAGCTAGCTCCATTCTTGATGTAGAAACTGAATTTGTTATGCATTCAGACTTCTGTACTTACTCTCTTTTCTTTATGGATAAATCCCAAGAGTTACAGATAAAAAATCTACTTGTTCTTTCTGAGACCCACACATGCAAGGTCTTCAGCGGAAGATAATTGGTGGGAGTCAAAAGGGGCTGATATGGTTTTTAGAGGTGAAAATGAAGAGACTTTGGAGGAGTGTTTTCTTTAGGTAGTTGGGTGGGGTTGTTGTTGGACGAGCAAGTTTTCTTTCTTCTCTCAGGTGACTTATTGTCACCTTTCTTGTAATTTCTTTTTTCTTTACTTTTGTTTTACTATCAAACAATGAAGAGGCTTTGTAGAGGGTGGAAGTAGGGGAAGGGGGAGAAAGGGTGGTGACTTTAGCGGAGGGGGAGGGTTCAATTTGCAAGGCCAAAGTGGTTTCTGGAAGGGAGGAAGATAGAGAAGCGGGAGGGGAGGCTTCAAGGGGGAAGGGAACCTTAAATGTGGGCAGTAGCAATAAGTCTGATGAGGGTTTTGGATGTGATGTGGACAGAGGAAAAAAAGGAGTGGGTTGAGGAGGATGGTACTGAATCAACAAATGGGCCAGATATCAAAAAGGGACTTGGCGCTGGTGTGGACTGCCTTGGGAAATTTGAGAAAGAGGATGCTTCTGACAAGGGAGGGGAAGGACACGGAGAGAAAGAAGGTTGCGAGGCTTATGGGTCAAAAAGGAAATATAGAATGACACTGATGCATTCTGCTAAGGTGGCTGAAGAAGCTGGAAGAAAAATATGGTGGGCCTTTGAAGGTTAGGCAGAAAGACAAATTGATTCCTGTTGAGATTGGTGTTATTGCAAGAAATAGTAATGTGCAAGACAGTGGGAGGCCATCTGAAGTTGAAGGGGATGATTTTAACAAGGGTAGTGAGGTGGGAGCATATCAAATCTTTGAGAAGAATGCTGTCTTAGAGTTAGAAAGGATCAATAATAAAGGATTTGATGGCTCCTGAGAATATTACTAATGCAGTAAGAAGATTCAGAAGCCGGAAAAATAATTGGACTGTTTCAGTTTCAATTTTTCACCAGATTGAAGTGCGGCTTATTTGGGGAGACTTGAATAAAGCAAGTAGATTTCTGTTCTACTGTAATTCAGAAAAGAGAAGAAGAGAAAAGAAGAGTAGAGGAGAAGAAGAAGAGAAGAGAGGAGAAGAGAGAAAAAAGGGGTTCGGTGATTGATATCTGCTGCCCCAAATTCTTTCTTATTTATAACCTTTAATTCCTTACAATAATAGGACAGAAATACTTAAGTCCTAATCCTAGTAAGACAAAATAGATAAACATGAAAAGGCCAGCCGGCCCAATCTTAAAAGAAAAAATAAAAACAATTAGGAAACTAGGTATGGGTATGGTACCCCACACTCGTGACTTATTTCTTCACTCCCCCTCAAGTTGGGAGTAGATATTTGTCATGCTCAACTTGCGTAAATCCGTCTCCAATTTGATTTTTGTGACTGCTTTGGTGAAGAGATCAGCTAACTGCATGTCTGAGGCAATGTAAGGAAGGCATATTTCTTGAGATGCAACTCGCTCTTGGCTAAAATGTCTGTCAACCTCGATATGCTTAGTCCTGTCATGCTGTATTGGGTTGTGGGCAATATTAATTGTAGCTTGATTATCACAATATAGCATTAGAGGCTTCTCATAATCAATCTCCAACTCATTAAGCAAGGATTTCAGCCATAACACTTCTGCGACACCATTGGCCATGGATCTGTATTCTGCTTCTGCACTAGAGCAAGCAACAACATTCCGTTTCTTGCTTCTCTAGGAAACAAGGTTTCCCCCCACAAATGCACAATATCCAGAGGTAGATCTCCTGTCATCAACACATCCAGCAGCCCAATCCACATYTGTATACACTTAGTTTCATATGACCATTATTCTTGAAGAGTATACCTCTCCCTGGACATCTCTTTAAGTAGRCAAGAATCCTTTCTACTGCAAGGAGGTGGGTGGTCCTGGGAAAATGCATATATTGACTGACGATACTAACAGCATAAGAAATATCTGGCCGAGTTAGGTAGAGATAAAGAAGTTTCCCAACCAGCCTTTGATACATAGCCTTGTCATCAAGGAGTTCTCCACTTTCTGCACTTATCTTATGGTTAGGCTCAATGAGAGTATCAACAGGTTTCACTCCTAACTTTCCAGTTTCTTCCAATAAGTTTAGAACATACTTCCTTTGAGAGATGAAAATGCCATGCTTAGATTGAGCTACCTCAATTCCTAGGAAATAGTGTAATTTCCCTAGGTCTTTTACTTTAAATTCCTTGTGAAGGTGCTGTTTAAGGGTTTCAATTTCACTAGTGTCACTTCTTGTTATCACAATGTCATCTACATAGACTGCAAGTAGAGTCAGGGAATGACCTGCCTTCTTAAAGAAGAGAGTGTGATTTGACTGAGCCTATATTTATTCGAATTTGTCCAAAGCCAGTCTGAACCTATCAAACCAAGCTCTTGGAGATTGTTTCAGCCCGTACAAGGCCTTCTTCAAAAGGTAAACTTTCTTTCCTTCTTCTGCACTATAAAATCCAGGGGGTAACTCCATGTAAACTTCCTCTTGCAAGTCTCCGTTGAGAAATGCATAACATTTAGCTGAAATAGTGGCTAGGAGTAGTTTGCAGCAATGGATAGAAGAACTCTGATAGTGTTCATTTTTGCAATAAGTGCAAAGGTTTCTGTATAGTCTATGCCATAAGTTTGTGTGAATCCCTTTGCAACTATTCTGGCTTTATACCTCTCTACAATATCATCATCATTATATTTCACAATAAACACCCATCTGCATCCAACAGGTTTCTTCCCTTCAGGTTGGTTAACTAGTTCCCATGTGTTGTTCTTGACAAGAGCATCCATCTCTACTTGCATTGCCTTCTTCCATTCAGGTATCAAAAGGGCTTCTTGCACTTTTCTGGGTATAACTAAGTGATGCTTGTTTGAGTCCTTCCATCCAGCCCAAAGGAAATTCCCCATTTTCTCCTCAATTTTGTCAGCCACACCAGAAGGAACTGAGAAAATGGATAAGAAATATGCTTTTGATTAAAGTCACCTTGCCTCATGTCATACTTGGAAATTGGATTTCTTGTGTTAAGTTCTTAGACTTGCATTTATATTTAACAGACATTTATAGACATGCATGATGCATAATTCACTTATTTATTGATATGTAAACGTTCCCCTGAATGCAGGTACCTTGAAAATAAGTTGCTCCTTTTAAGTTTTGGACTTGAAACTTCTGCTTATATATCATTTACGGGTTATAGCATGGCATACTTTTGTTTGTTTGGTTCTAAAGTTCTGACTTGGCAGATGATGAGGATGATTATGAGGAGTCTGGTGGAGGGAGCCGACTCTTGGGATTTATGTTTGGAAATGTTGATGATTCAGGTGATCTTGATGCAGATTATCTTGATGAGGTGAGCCTCCCTTAAGGAAGTTTTTACTTTCTGTGCATCCAATAATTGTGGTGTGTAATTTGCAATTGTAGATTGTAGAACTAATTTTAGTATCATGTCATCTAAATCTGACATTTCATTGAAGCAATCTCATACGTGTTACTGAAAATGATTTTATTTACCATTAATAAGTAAGAACTATCTGGAAATTGGTGCTTAATAAACATATGGCTTGGGCAACTTGCTATTTGCATTGATTGCTTTGAAGAAGGAATGGTGTATATGTAATCGGTATGGGTTGCCTTTTTTTTTCAGTTTTTTGGCATCTGGAAATCTGATAAAACATAGAAAAGCTTTTGTTTTGGTACAGTAAATGCTGTAGATGGTTCTTATAATATAAATGCTATAATTTTCTGATAAAAAATTATAAAAATACTCTGAAGGTTTTGTGGTCCAAGCAAAACGAGCTCCTAAGATGTACAAGAAGTAGACCCCATCAGCATATTATGCTCAAAAATCTTACACCAACATTGTGAGACCCTTCAAAACAGTTGCTTTCTCTATTCAGAGTGTCTTGGTATATATATACATAAACTCTATTCAGAGTGTACATACATACATACATATAATATATATATATATATATTATCTCTTCTGGCCTAGGTTGGGCTGTCTAGCTCTAGGATTTTAGGGCCTGGGCAGAAATGATCAACCCTATCCAGAGTGTCTTGGTGATTTCCATCTTTGGTTAGGGAACTCTTGAGTTGCTGGAAACTGTGGAACCTTAACAGCCAAGATTATGCTATACGGAGAGTTGCCCCATTAGCCATATTTTGGGCCACTTGTGGGGAAATGAATAGCATATATATCTTCTGGCCTGGGTTGGGCTGTCTAGCTCTAGGATTTTAGGGCCTGGGCAGAAATGATCAACCCTATCCAGAGTCTTGGTGATTTCCATCTTTGGTTAGGGAACTCTTGAGTTGCTGGAAACTGTGGAACCTTATCAGTCAAGATTATACTATACGGAGAGTTGCCCCATTAGCCAGATTTTGGGTCACTTGTGGGGAAATGAATAGCAGAATATTCAAGAAGAGGCAATAGCCAGTTGAAGAGGTGCTCAGACTTGTCATTGAGATGATTTGTTTGTGTCTTTCTGTTCACAAAAATTCATACATTTTTTGACTTCGATCTTTTGTAAGAGAAGCTAATGGACCCTTGAGATAGGTCTAGTCATGTACAAAGTATTAGAAGCTAATTTAGCAGTTTATTTATATTGGTTCCTTTATTTTTTCTTTGTTATTGATAAAGAACAGGGAAAAGATGACAAAATTAGCGTATCTCATATTTCCATTGTCAATTTCTTATTTTGTTTTTTTAGAAACTGTGCTTTTTCAAGCAACAACTCCAATAGGAGTCTAATCATCATCATCATCATCATCATCATTGAAACCTTATCCCAACTATATTGGGTTGGCTACATGAATTCTGTTTCACCATTCCATTCTGTTCAATGCCATATCCATTGTTAAATAGTGTTTAAATCATTTGTTACAACTTCTATGGAGCAAGGTTCAAATAATCGACACGTATCGGGAGCTTCCTGATATGCCCCTACAGAGGTGTATCAGGGTTTTGACCGGTCCAGGGGGTGGATGGACCTTAAACCGGCCCCTCTGAACTGGATTTGAAAAAAACTAAAAAAAAAAACAACTGATACGCCTCTACCGGCATATCGATGTTTTGAACCTTGCTACGGAGTTCCTTTTTGGTCCACTCCTAACCCTTGTAACCCTTTCAACTTGCAACAAATCACTTCTTACGGGTGCTGTTAATGGTCTTCTATGGAGCTACTACTAAGTTCCTTCGAATGGCTTCATTTCTGATACTATCCTTTCTAGTTTTTCCATTCATCCATCTCAGCATAAGCATCACTCATTTTTTGGACATGTTGTTTCTTGACTGCCCAAAACTTTGCTCCATACAGCATAGCTGACCTTACAACTGTTTTATAGAGTTTTCTGTTTTCCTTTTAATCTAAGTTGTATTTGCCTGTTACATAAAACTCCAAATGAACCCCTCCATTTTGCCCATCTTACTGTAATTATATGGGTAACATCCTCCTCAATCTCTCCCTTGATATGAATTATCGAACCAAGATACTGGAAAAGGTCACACTGAGTTATCTCTTGGTCTCCAATCCAGCAGGAATAATGGTAATAATCTAGATTCTAGATACAGGTCCCGTAGCTCAGTTGGTTAGAGCATTGGTTTCATGAGCCGAAGGTCGCGGGTTCGAGCCCCGCCGGGATCATTTGGCCAATGTGTCCCAACAAGAATACTCTCACCATCATGGCTATGCTTTCTGGTGTTTTAGCAATCTCCAAAGGGCCCAGTTTCCTTGGGAACATTAATCAAGGCTAGTCCATACTCCATACCATATCAATTGTGCATGTTGGATTTTGGAAAGCAAGGGGATGTTGATGGTAATATTTCCTTTTAGGCTTGGTTTCATTACCACTGGATGATGTGTTCACTCTAGCTGCTAAACATCTGGCCTAATATAGTTTCTTAATAGCAGTGGTTCCTCAATTCTGCCCTTAGGCTATCCAAAAGTTCTATATGTAAACCTTCCAGTGGATTTTTTTTTTTTTTTTTTTTTTAGTTCAAGAAGCTGTAACTAACATGGTTGTTGAAAGCTTATCGATTTACAATAGTTCATGATTCTAACATGTTCCTAAAGAATACCTCTATACTACAGTGCATGCTGGTCCAAGTGTGTCAGGTTGTCAACCACATAAAAACCTAGTCAATCCAATATGAATGGTTGACTGCAAATAATTGGGACAAAGGCTGAGCTGAGTTGAATGAAAACCTTGTTCAAATGAGTATGGAGATTAGCATAGCAGACTCTCTAGCCTGGGGGGGGGGGCAACACATATAGTGGGGAGTCGATGCCTATTGATACAATCATGCATTTTGACATATTTGTGGATGCATTTTATTGGTCTATTCACTTTTATGTGGAGGGTTTAGCATTAAGTTTCCTTATATAGGAAACTATATGCTTATATTTTCTTATATTTATGTTTTCTTATAATTTTCTCATATTTACTTCTATTGCTCATCTTAGCATTTTCTGGTCTTGTTGGTTCAAATGATTTAGCAAGAACTGAGCTACTACAGTTCAATTGGGGATGAGAGATTGGGTGGTTTATGAGGGGATGAGAGATTGGGGCTGCAACAGTGCCCAGAGAGACTATTGTGTTCAATTGGGGTGTTGAGGGCTTTGGCATATAGATTGAACCGTTTGTTACAGCTTCTCCCTGGATCAGAAATTCCTTGGCAGAAGAGATATTGGGAAATTTCATTACGAAGTTAAGGGTATTCTGTGTCACTTTTTTTTTTTTTGTTTAAGAAAAGGTAATGTAGTATTTCATTAAAGGGGGGAGACCAACAAGTGAGCCCCAAGATACTATTACAGTGAGATTTACACCCATGATCCGCCAGTCAAAAAGCAAAAACCTTAAGCCATTGACAACTTATATGAAAACATTTTACAAAAAGAAACATTTTTAAAAGATTACTTCCCTTAATTCATGAAAAGATTCTAGCTGCAGCACTTCTCAGAACCTCATCTCCCTGCTTAGACTGATTCTCAAAAGTTCTGATGTTTCTCTCTGATCAAACATTCCAAATGATAGCAGCTGTGGTTGTTTTTATGTGCTTGTTTTCCTCTTAATATTGAGTCTCCATTATGCCAACCACAAAGTACCTGCATTACAAACTTTGAAAAACACCAATGTGCATAGCACATTCAGGCTACTCAAAAAGAAGCTCCAGATCTGTCACCTCGGGACAATAAATGAAAATATGATCAGTAGTTTCTATTGGGCAACAGAACATCACCTCCCAGTGTACTATTGTTGGTTTTTAGGATGCCTCAAGCTTTGGTAAAAAGAGTTGAAAAGATAATGAGAGATTTCCTTTGGGAGCCTGCTGTAGGGAAGAAAGATCATTTGGTTAGATGGGATAAGGTGATGAAATTGATGGTTGAAGGCGGTCTGGGCATTGGAAATGTTAATTTGAAGAACTCAGCCTTGTTGAGTAAATGGCTTTGGAGATTTATTAAAGAAAATGAGAGGCTGTGGACTATAGTTATTTCAAGTATCCATGGGCTGTCAAACAACGGTTGGGATGCGGGCTGCTTACATAGAGCTACTCTGGCTGCTCCTTGGAAGGCTATCCATGACAATCTTCCTATGTTCCTCAATCACATAAGGTATGATTTAGCTTTGGGTCAGAAAATTAGATTTTGGGAGGATATTTGGGTAGGGTAAGCCCCCTTTTCGGAGGTTTTTCCTTTCTCTTTGAGCTCTCTAGTTTCAAAGGTAAACCTATTTGTGATTTTATCAGTTGTTCCTCATCCCTTTCAAACTTGAGTTGGAATCTTGGCTTCATTAGAAATCTAAGTGAATAATTTCCAATGTCTCAGCTTTGCTTCTTCTGTTGAGTTCAGTATTTTTGGGGGAGGGTGGTTCAGATTCTAGAGTGTGGACCCTTAGTCAGTCAGGTTCTTTTTCCTGTAAGTCCTTTTTGAATTCTCTTATCTCCACCTTCCCCTCTCCTTATTTCCCTGTTAAGGAGATATGGTCTCGGCCCATCCCTCAAAAAGTCAGTACTTTTTGTTGGGAAATGTTTTATGGCTCCATTAACACCTGTGATTTGCTTCAGAGGAAAAGACCAAATTGGTGCTTGCCCCCAAGTTGGTGCACTTTATATAAGTTGTATGGTGAGACTGCCTTTCATCTTTTGTTCTCCTGTCCTTTTGCTATTTCTATTTGGGAGTGATTTTCATCTCTTTTTGGATGCAGTTGGCTTCCCCCTGATTGTCTGGAAGGTGTATTTAGCTCTCACCTTTTCAGCTGCCCTAAAAGAAGAGGCAGGGTTATGTGGAGATGCACTTGGGCAGCAGTGATCTGGACAATTTAGGAGGAAAGGAACCTAAGAATCTTTGAAGACAAGGAAAGAAGTAAGGAAGCTGTGATTGAGGAGATTAGTCTGAGTAGTGCATTGGGTGAGCACTTTAAAGCTTTTTGCTGACTTTAAGGTTGAAGACATTTTCAGGTTGTGGGGAATAATCGCAGGTTCTTCGTCTAGAAGACAGATAGTTCATGAGGCCTGGTCTCGTCCATGTGTTGGGTGGAAGAAATTAAACCTTGATGGTAGCTGTATGGGCAATCCTGGACCATCGGGTATTGGTGGAGTAATTAGGGAAGAAAATGGAAAAATTCTAGCATTGTACTCAGGTCCTATTCAGCATGGAGATGTGATGAGATCAGAATTATTGGCAGAAGTCCATGGAGTAGAGAAAGCTAAAGAAATGGGGATTACTAAGCTGATTATTGAAGGTGATTCAAAAGTAGTTGTGGGCTGGCTGAAAAAGGGGGAAGGAATCATATGGAAGTTAAGGAATGAGTTCAGGAGATTCAAGCAGATCTCTAAAGACATGATTATCCAAATAAGGTGGATAAGGAGATCTGCAAACAGTTTGGCTGATGGTCTAGCAAAGCAAGCAACTCAAAGACAATCTATGTTCTGGGCAGTTCTGTAAATAGTGAATAGTTTCTGTTTGGGCTTAATTTTGTGCCCACAACTCTTTGTTGTGTGTCTCTCTCTCTCTCTCTCTCTCTCTTTTTTTAATCTAATGAATCAATTTTGTGTTGCTGATAAAAAAAATCTGGAAGCTCCATATCCCTTTTGCCCAAGTTTTCTATGCGAGGCACTTGTCTGGTGAATCTGTCCTCAGCATGAAACCAATCTTTTGTGGACTCCTAGGTTGCCAAATGATGTTTAGTGGTTAGTTCCTGGGTTAACTTCTAAACATAAGATTTTACTGTAAAAACTCCAGAGTTCTCCACTTCTCCCACCTCCACCTTCTCCTATACTCATATCCTGCCATAGGTACAATAGAATGCGGTTTTTGGAGTAAGGCTGCCACATCTTCTTACTCCCAGTCATAAAGATTTTTTTGGAACTTTGGAGCACAAACTACCTTATCACCAGCCACCTCAAAGCATTGACTATCCCTAGACTCCCTTGAATTGGCAATGTAATAAAATGTTGGAACAGGGAGCTGTAACCCTAGTTTTGGCTGGGTAAAAAGGATAGCAAATGTGTTTGCAGATGTCCTAGAAAAACAGGGAGCTGATTGATCCACCTTATTTTGGGCAATATTGTAATCTGTAGTAGCAAAAAGGGGGGGGGGGTGACAGACCAAAGTAGTGTGGGCAAGCTGTATTTTGGTGATTTCTGGACTACTGAGTAGCCAAAACTTTTATAATCTGTTTTAAACATTAATAGGTGGAATTAATTTGCTGATAAAAAAAGTCTTCCTTCAAAGTTTTTTCTACTCCCTTGTGTCACTATTGTACATATAGCTGGGATAATTTAGTTCTTTAGCCAGCCCCTAAGTCATCTTATGCTTATAATTCCACATAATAATGATGATACGACACTCTTACTGTTGCTGCTGAAAATAGTTTCAAAAAAATTATTTTTTGAGAAAAGGTAAGGGTATTTGTATTAATAACCGAAAAGGGAGAGTGGGGGAACCAAAATACAGAGATTCTATACAGCAAGTTTCTACATGAAGCAAATACAAAAAAATATTAATTACAAAAGACAAGATCGGAGTCTATGAAAGTATGGCATTGATTAGTGTGGAAAAGTTTGTGGGCTGAGCACCAAGAAAGTATTGTGCTCACATTGTTTCTGATAACTTTGTCTGGTTGTGTGTCAGAGTTCTGAAAGATTCTGCTTGTTTCTCTTCATCAAGACAGTCAAACAAATTGCATTAGGTATCATATTACCAAATCTTCTTGCCTTTTTTGTTCATCCTGTCCATGTGCCAGCTCATAAGAGTTTCTGAAGCAGATTTAGGAAAGACTAACAGATGTTTAAGCATCCAAGGAGGTGAGTCCAAATGCTGTAGCTCATGGGCAGTAAACACAACCGCAAAAAGGGAGGATCAGGCCTCTGCTAGAGATCTTGTCTTTGGTGGGGCATTTCTCCAAGGATGCTGTCCAGGTCAAGAAGTCCATTCTGGACGGAACACCTGCTGTCTATACTGCTCTGCGATGGAAGTTTTACTGTGGATCTTGGCCAAGATGATTGAGAAAATATTTTACTGAGAATATGGGGATTTGATCTGCTGTCTATACTGAAAATATTTTACTGTGACTGAACACCTGCTGTCTATACTTTTCCATATCGAGCAACCATATGGGGATTTGACCAAGTCAGTGTCCCAGCCTCCAATGCTGTACCTATACTTGGGTACAGTGAGTTGGCGCCACCAACCATCCAGTTCAGAGGGGTTAGGGCTCATTTATTTTGGGCACTAAACCCCCAAAGCCATTTGCTCAAGAAGGTAATGTTCATGTGTTTAATTCTGTGCAGGCATAAACCTGCTGCTTCCTTAGGGATGCAGAGTTTAGCCCAATCAACCAAGTGAATTTGTTTTCATCCTTCCAGCCATGAGAAAGAAAGTCTCTTTGCAGCTTCTCCAGAAGCTGTTTTTGAAGGAATAAGGAATGCATAATTTTCAAGGCGCCAAGTTGAGGTTAAGCGATAGGGGGGGGGGCGCCTTGTTGCCTAGTCGCCTAGGCGATGATTTTTTAAGTAAAAAACTAATATCCTATGGTAGTTCCCTAGGTACCATAACCATATTTTCTTAATAATTATTCATAATTTTCATAAGAAAAGTATATACTTCATGTTAAAGCATAGAAAATCAACATATTCATGAGAAGAAAAAGAAGAAAGTAAAAACAAATTCAAAAAATATAGGGGCTGAACCCAAGGTTCGAAGTATCGATACACTTCTGTATATTGGCGGAGGTGTATCGGAACTTTGAACGATACTCCTTTTATTTTTTAGTTTTTTGTCAAGTTTCAGTTTTACACACACACACACACACACACACACACACACACACACATATATATATATATATATATATCATTAAAAAAGAGGGTTCCCAAAAACACCTGTAAACAGGTGTATTGGGAACCAAAAGATATGATATACGCCTCAGAAAATGTTGATTAGACAAATTTTTAAGTTCATCCTTACTTATTGCTTCAGGTTTTGAAGTCTTTGAGGGTTTGATACAGCATTTAGCAGTGTTTGTGTTGATTAAACCCTAACAAATAAGAAAATATTAAAATGTAATTAGTATATAAACACACAAAATGAATATTTTAGTTTAATAATGTCTATTTTATAATTATAATCTCAAAAAAAAATCAAGAATATAAAAGTATTTTATAATACATTGTCTAAAGCTGCTTGACGATTAGGCGAGGCGAGCCTCCAAGAGCACCTTGTCACCTAGATAATGTGGGCAAGCTAGATAATGTGCTTTTAATAGGAGTGTGAGTTTGTCCCCTTTTTTAGATACTTGTCTTTCCAGGGGGAGAGCCTATTCTGGAACACTCAAGGATGGGCTCTCAGACAGTGCTAGAGATGCATTTATTTCCAAGGGGCATGCTTAGGTATTTTTCTTTTCCAATTCCTCCCAAAATTAGCGATTAAGCTGATGGAAGACGAGATTGATGGGAGTTATAAAGGAGATTTAGATTCAAAAAGTAGAATGTGAAATGGTTTTACACTTTTAGAAAAAAGAAGCAAAGTTTTTGGGTGTATTTTTTGCATCTGAGGTCTATTTTTTACTAAAGCTACTAAAATGACAGCACAACTTTCTCTGTGCTTCATTGATACATGGGAACTTCTATGTCTGGTTGTGCTGGAGTATCAATGATGTCTTGAAATTAATGTTCTAGTGATATTTTCTGTAAAAATGTTGGATTCTCCCCAATTCAAGTTGGATCTTGTATTATCTTCTCCTGTAAGATGTCAAAACATTCACATTATTTGCAAAAATGTTACAATTCTTATGAACCATACTTTGGATAAGTGAAATTTCAGAATGTGGAAATCTTAAGATTGTCTTTGATTTTTCATTCATGCCTTTAGGCGTGATCTTTTCCATGCTGCTTGCAGTTTTAGGAGATGGGAAATTTTTGTTTGTCTTGGCATATGGGGAATTGGGGATTAAACCTTTAAATACGTGGAGAGGTTGTAGTTAGAAAGGCTAATAAATTTTGCAATACTTGGTTGCGCTCCATGAACAATGGAGAGTGATTCAAGTAACATATTTACCAAGTTATTAGCAAGTCAATGTTGATTGGATTAGAGATATTAGTTATTGGCATATTTGGTTGAGCTCTGTGAACAATGGAGAGTGATTCGAATAACATATTTACCAAGTTATTGTTGACTGGATTAGAGATATTAGTTATTGACATCCTTATGCATGCATATACTGAAATTGCTAATATAGATGCCAACTCCATGTCCTGTATAGATGCAAGCAGATCTTTGTCTACTGTATTATCTCATTACATTCTTTCTTTATTTTCAACGAGGTTTTCATGATTGCAGCTAAGAGGAACTATAAAAGACTACTGGTTGGTCAGATGAGAAGTTTTCTCTTCATCATCTTGCATATACCATAGCTTAGCTGCTGTGATGTTTTGTCTTTTTTGATAACTATAGAAGGTTTCTTTTCTTCTTTCTTGACACTGTAGCTGTGTTCATGGTCACATTTCTTGTTCTATTTTGTGTTTATTTATGTATTTATATAATTTCCCTTGATACCTTCTCTAATTTTTCTTTCTCATGTTTGATCACTACATCCTGTAATCTTTCTTCACAAAGCCAATTGTTAAACCCTTTAATTGATGCTTGACATACAATGTTTTTCAGGATGCAAAGGAACATCTTTCTACACTGGCCGACAAATTGGGTCCATCACTAATGGATATTGATGTATGGTGATTCCAATCTTGTTGTTATATCTCCTGGATTTTTTAAGAGATCAGTCTATGTCAGAGGGGCCAATCAATTTTGTTTTTTGTGTTCTTTCCATTGCAATCTTTTATGCATTGACACTAATGAATTTGTTTAACATGTAGTTGTCAATAAAATTACTGCAAACACCAGCTGATGGTTCTGAGCAAGGTGACATTATATTGCCAGAAAGAATGATCTCAAGTTTTATGGTTTAATTGACTCTGAAACTGATGATTTGGTATCAAGTGAATGTTTATCCATTGATCCCATTTACAACATATTGATATTGGTTAAACTTTTATGCTTATTACATTTTATGACTTGCATCATATTGAAGAGATAAGAAGGAAGCTGAGTAGAATTAGATATCAATATTCTGAATATGACTCTGTTTAATTCAAGTAATTATCATTTCAGTAGGGTGAAAAATCTGTTCTTAGACTTTGATCTTAATCTAAGCATTCTCTTTTTCCCCTTGAATCCTTTTGCTTACATACCATGGGCTTTCAATATTTCTAAATTGAGGTCTTTAATCATCCTTTTTTTTTAACTTTTATCTTTCTAATTGAGGGTAATGTTTAAAATTTCGCAATGTATCGGGCTGTATTGGCTGATACTTGTCGTTTTGACAAGAGCCCGATACACAGAACATGTAGAAATCAGCCGTTCCGTTTCTTTTCGTATGTATCGCACCAATATGAACCTGTATTGGGCTGTTTCGGCTCTATATTGGCTGATATGGGCCCGAAACAATCCGATACAGCCCGATACACTTGATTTGTTTTGGGTGCCCTTCTTTCATTAATTTCACTAATCTATATTTAATTCCGAATCCCCTCTCATTAATTTCGTTAATTACTCCTATATTTAAGTCTAATTTCTCTTTCATTCAATCCAAGATTGATAGATTCCTCTTTACCATGGATTGGGAAGAGCATTGAGGTAGTCTGACCTCTAGGGCCCTTCCAAGTGTCACTTCTGATCATTGGCTCATTTTGATCTGTAAAGAGGAGTTTAGAAATGTTGGACCTTCCCCATTCAGATTTGGTAATATGTGGTAAGTTCAACCGGGTTTCATTAGGAGAGTAAGGGATTGGTGGGAGGAATGTGAGCCTAGGGTAATGTGAGAAGGAATGAAATTCCATAAGAAGCTTCAACACCCGAAAAATAAAATAAAGGAATGGAATGCCTTGGAGTTTGGGAGATTGGGAGAAAGAAAACAGGAGGTCTTTGATCAAATTGAAGAGATTGATTTGAAAGAAGAAAGGGGTGAACTTGAGGAAAGGGATTGGGAGGGTAGGTGGAGATTAAGGAAACAATTAGAAGACATTTTGGTGAAGGAGGAGATAAGTTGGAAGCAGAAGTCTAGGTGCAAATGGTTAAAAGAGGGAGATAGAAACACTAAATTTTTTCATGCGGTGGCAAATGGGCGAAGAAGGAAAAACTTTATTTCCAAATTGGAGGTAGGAGGCTTAACCTAATCCAACAGGATGAGATAACTGGGGCCTTTGTGAATCACTTTAGATCTATTTTTAGAAGACCGTTGAATAATAGAGTCTAGCTAGAAGGTGTGGAGTAGCCAAATCTAGGAGCTGAGCTTAGGTGGTTGGAAAGAGAGTTTGATTTGGCTGAAGTGCAAGAGGTTGTGTTCTCAATGGATAGATCAAAAGCTCCAGGCCTTGATGGTTTTACAATGGCCTTCTACCAAGACTGTTGGGACATTGTGGAAAAGGACATTATGCTAGTGTTTGATGAATTCTACAGGAGAGGTGTAACTAAGCCGGGTTTGAATTCCACCTTCATTGTTTTGGTACCCACAAAAGCTGATGCCACTCACCCGAGAGATTTTCGACCAATCAGCCTAGTGAATAGTTTGTACAAAGTCATTGCTAAGGTGTTCTCTCAGGATTAGGCATGTCCTTCCTACCATCGTTTTCTCCAACCAAGGGGCTTTTGTGTAGGGGAGGCAAATTGTGGATCAAATTCTGATAGCCAATGAATGTGTGGAGGATGTGAGAAGATCTGAGAGGAAAGGAGTGGTGTGTAAGCTCGATTTAGAAAAGGCCTATGATATGGTGGATTGGTCTTTCCTGAAAGAAGTGATGGAATGCTTTGGGTTTGGAGGTAGATGGTGCAAATGGGTAATGAGGTGTTTGAGGACTTGTCAATATTCTATTTTGGTGGATGGGACAGTAGTGGATTTCTTTCCTGCCTTAAGGGGTATTCGACAAGGAGACCCTCTCTCTCTCCTTTCCTTTTCACCATAGTTGTAGATGTGTTGGGGAGATTGGTTTCAAAAGCAGACTCTAGGAATCTAAAAGAGGATGGGGAATTGGAAGGGAAGGGGTACTAATTACTTATTTATAGTTTGCTGACGATACAATTCTCTTTTGTGATGGAGGAGAGTTGGTCTGGATTAGGAATCTCAAAATTGTAGTGCAACTTTTTGAGCAAATGTCAAACTTAAAGGTGAACTTCAAAAAAAGTTGCATAGCTGGAGTTAACAAGGGAGAGAGGGAAATGGCTGTGTCTAGAGATTTTGGGCTCTGCGGTCTCTAGTTGGCCTTTGAAATACCTAGGTCTTCCTTTAGGTGATAACCCTGGGAAAGTGCGCTTTTGGTCCCCGGTGGTGGAGAGATTTGAAAAGTGACTTGCTTCTTGGAAACGAAATTACCTGTCTATGGGAGGAGGGGTTACCTTAATTAGGTCCACTCTAGCTAATTTACTTGTTTACTTCTTGTCGGTATTCAAAGTTCCCAATGGAATAGCTAGGAAGTTGGAGAATCTAATGATAAACTTTCTTTGGGAACCGGGGGAGGAAAAGAAGGATCATAGAGTGAGGTGGGAAGATGTGTGTAGGAGCAAGGAGCTAGGGGGATTGGGAATTGGGAATGTACGGAAATGAAATTCTGCTCTTTCAGGTAAGTGGCTGTGGAGATTTTCTGATGAGGAAGAAAAATTATGGGCTAAGGTAGTGTTGAGCATTCATGGGTCAACGACAAATGGTTGGGACATTGGAATTAGAGCAAGGACTACAAGAACATCCCCGTGGAAAGCCATCCAAGCCATCCTTCCTTTATTCTTGCCTTGGATTAGGTATGACTTGCACTTTGGGAATTGTATTAAATTTTAGGAACAAGTGTGGGTGGGGAATTCTCCTCTGAGGGACCAATTCCCTTCTTTGTTTTCCTTGTCTTGTTACGAAAATGAGCCTATTTCTACTTTCTTGGTTCCCTCCAATTCTGGCTTTGGGTTTTGTTGGGATTTGGGTTTGAGAAGGGCTATTAGGGATACTGAGGTAGATAGTGTCATGTTCTTGGACCCCCTTCAAGCTGATGGAAGAATTTGGACTCCACACCTCATGGTTTGTTTACTTGTTCTTCTTTCTTCAACAACCTAATCCAATTGGCAACTAGTGGGGGTCTACCTTTTCCTGTCGAAGAGGTGTGGAGCAAATCTATTCCCCAAGGGTTGGTTGTTTTTGCTGGGAAGCCTACCTGGAAAGAATCAATACTTGTGATTTACTTCAAAGAAAAAGACCAAAGAGCAGTTTGTCTCCTTACTGGTGCTGTCTTTGTAAAGTTAATGATGAGAATTGCTACCATTTATTGATCTCTTGCTCTTTTGTTAAAGGTTTATGGGAATGGTTTTCTTCTTTTTCTGGAAGCAGGTGGGTCCTGCCATCATATGTGAAAAAGTTTGTTTGCTCCTTTCCTTAGGTTGCCAAAGAAAAGGGGAAGAATAATGTGGCGTTGTGTAAGGGCTGCTGTTATTTGGCCTATTTGGGAAGAAAGGAACTCCAAATTATTCTCAGGAAAGGAGAGGAGCAAGGAAACTATTTGGGAGGTGATTTGCCTCTGGGTATTCCATTGGATTAAATCTTTGGATATTTTCAACAAACTTTCTCTAGATGATCTGTCAAGAAAGTGGAAAGAAATTGCCTTTTCAGCCCTGGTTCAGGAGGTTTCAGTTCCAGTTTGGTCCCCTCCCTCAAGTGGTTTTTACAAAATGAATTTTGATGGGAGTAATATTGGCAACCCAGGGCCTTTGGGTATTGGGGGTGTTTTTAAGGGATAAGAATAGGATTATAGTTGCCTTGTTCTCAGGCCCAATTGAAGAGGATAATTCTCTTAGAGCTGAGATTTTGGCGGCTATAGAAGGTGTTCAAAGAGCCAAGGACTTGAAGTTGAGGAAGTTGATCATCGGAGGAGACTCCAAGCTGGTGGTAGAATGGCTGAAAGGAGATAAAAATGGTTTGTGGATGTACAACATTGAGAAGAAGAAATTCCAATGGCTGACAAAAGACATGGAAGTTAAAGTGGTTTGGGTTAAGAGATGTGCTAACTCCCTTTCTAATGGGCTAGCAAAACAAGGGGTGAATAGGGAGAACTTGTTTTGGGCTCAAATGTATATATATATTTTTTTTCTGTTTTATCTTGTTTGGGGGAGATAAGAGAAGTTATCTCCTTCCTTTGTACACTTTATTAATTAATGAAATCCTTTGTTATTGATAAAAAAACAAATTACTCCTCACTTTTAAACTTAAATTTGGATTTTAGCGCCTAATTCGAATTCTCTCATTAATTCTGTTATTTAATGATCATCTCTCTCATTTATTTCGTTTTATTAGTAAAAACTACAAACTTTAGCAATAACAAGATTTGAACCTTGGTCACTAGATTTTAATGACCATAAGTTCACCACCAAGCCACACCCATTTGTTTGTTATGGTTGTATGCATTTTTATTTCTAAGTAAAATTTCTCTTTTCTTAGTGGATGTTTATTAATAAATGCTAGAATTATGTAGAGAGACTGGGCCGAATGGGCCCTAATATTTCTTTTATGTTTAAGTAATGTCATATCTGTTTTATGTGTTAATGGGGATTAACACATAAAACAGATATGACATTACTTAAAAGAAATATTAGGGCCCATTCGACCTAATCTCTCTACAAATTTGTTATAAAAATTTATATACTAATAAATATTGAGATAAATTGATGTATACACATTCACATTTATATTGGTTATTTGAAAATTTGATGTGTACACATTGACATTTTTTTTTTCTATTTTTTTTCACATTTTAGATATTCCATCATATTTCAATGGTTACTAATTGTATATTGATATCTCACACTATACATGCCCTGTTTGATGATTAAGTGGTTGTTAAAAGAAGTACTTGTTGCATCAATTTAAGGCTGTTTGGTGACTCACTTGCCAAATCACTTATAATGTTTTTAAGCACTTATTGGGGTGAGAATGTTTGGTAAGCTACTTTCCCCATAAGGGCTTATATTGACAAATGACAATTTTAGCCCTCACTTCACTCGTACATATATACAATGCTTTTCACATATTATACTATACATTTCAATGAAAAAATGCAACATCATGGCAACTGAGAGCCCACGTGGACCCACACGTGAAGCGCCATGTGGACCCAATTAATAATAATAATAATAATAGTAATAATAATAATAATAATAATAATAATAATAATAATAATAATACAACAACAATATTGATAACAATAAATAATATTAATTATATCATAAATAATAATAATAACTAATAATAACAAATAATGAACAATATTGATAAATAAAAATCTATTCGTGCATAGGAATCTATCACATAGACAACGCAAAAAAAAAAAACCCAAGCAAATATTTCGGATTTAACGAAAAATTAATTAGAAGTTAAAAAAATAAAACATCACAAATATTTAAACATCAAAATGCAACCAAATATTCATCAAACTTCAGCAATTGTTTTGCATGATTTTTAACAAAAAAATTCGGATTTCTCATATGAAACCAAAATATTTTCGAATCCGACAAATAATCATACAAAAAAAACCAAAAAAACACCAAACATGGAGGGGAGGAGTTGGGCGAACTAACCTCCTTGTCACCGGTGGATGGACGGTGAGATTATCGCCGTTAAACTCTTCCAAATTGCAGATCTGCGAACACGTCAAACAAGGGAGTTTCAAGTTTAAAAAAACCCAAGAAAAATGGCTTAATATGATGGAAAACTTCACAAAATGTAAGAAAATGGCAAAACGACAGGTCCGCCGGTCATTTTTCCTCACCGTTGATCATCGTCGGTGGACCTATAACTAGGTGTGCTGCTACGTGGTTTGCTATGTTCAAATGATAGGAGAGGGAGGTAAAACCCTCGTGCGGGGGTATTTTGGGTATTAAAAAAATACTAGGGACTAGTTCGTCCCATTCTATTGGAAGAAGTACTTCTCGAAGAAGTGTTGAAAAAAAGCCAGCTTTAGGTCACTTTTTTAAGAAGTGCTTCTTTTAACAAAAAGTACTTTCCCACTTTTTTACCAAACACATAAAAGCGCTTAATAACCACTTAATGTGTGGTCCCAACTCTTAAAATAAGTACTTGCTAAAAGAAGTACTTTTTAGAAGTAAAATCAAACAGGGTCATAAACCATTAAATTATGGATTTTTACATTTAAATGACTTATTTGCAATCATATAAAACTTGTAGCTTTTGTTAGTAATATAGTTTTTATGATTTATTTGTCCTAGCATATTTATGCCTATCTTAATTTTTCGTCTGTATCTATGCATATCCCCGGTATGTCTCTTAAAATTGTCTTTCCGATACACCTTGTGTTTCCGATACTTTGAACCTTGATCAAGGGTGGGCCTTGACGCAATGGTTGGGTTGCTCCATTGCGACCTGGGTGACCAGGGTTCAAATCTTGGAAACAACTTCTCTGTATGTGTAGGGGTAAGGTTGCATACATCTGTCCCTCTTCAGACCCCACATTGGTGGGAACCTTGTGCATTGGGCTGCCTTTTTTTGTCTTTCTAATTGCCATGCATTCCTCTGAGTGATTTTATATGTATAATTTGTTTGATAGCTTTTGGGCATTTCAACTATATGCTGTCAGAGTTGAAAGTAAGATGAAACTTTAAAATTGGGTTTGTCTTGATGTTCCAGTCACTTCAACACACATAGGTTTACTTGTACATGTACAATAGCATTGGAGAAGGATACAATTGAATTGGTTTTCAAGTAGTAAACTGTTGAAATGTATGCCTTCTCTTATTATTATTTATTTATTTGTGTCTTTTTCTTGTTATGATCTGGGGTATAACAGCCATTTTATGTATTATTGAGACATGAGAAGAAGTGGGCTGCATGCCTACCTGAGTTTTCTCTGTAAAACAGCTTTCTTTCTCTGCCATTTCTCTACATTTACACATCTCTTGTCTCTCTATTCATCTTTATTTTCTTTTCTTTTATTCTTTATACAAGATGGGTTAGACAATATAAAAGATCATATAGACCTTAGACTGTTAATGCAAATGCATCTAGAAAATTTGTTCTCTTTAAGATCTAAATTATGGTAATTTTATACAATTCTCGCTCTCTTGTTCTACAGTAGTTTTGAACTTATGGTAATATTTGTGATGCTTTTTTTAATAAGTAATATTTTATTTGTGATGCTTTTTTTTGATAAGTAATTTTTTATTTGTGATGCTTCTAAATATGTCTATACTGATCCAGTGTTAATTCATTTTTTCTGCCAATAGATTATGATGAAAAAGCTGAAGATGCTGTTGATTATGAAGACATTGAGGAGGAATATGAGGGGCCTGAGATTCAAGCCACAACTGAGGAAGATCATTTGCTGCCTAAAAAGGACTATTTCTCGGCTGAAGTTTCAATTGCTACTTTGGAGCATAAAGCTACTGTTTTTGATGATGAAAATTATGATGAATATGAAGATATTGAAAAGGAAGAGGTGGTGGTGGATGAAAACTCCGAAGCCCAAATTGTTTCACAAGGTTTTACCTGATTATCATTCTTATTATATTTGTTGTATCCATGTAATTTAATTGTTTTTATTTGCTTTTTATTATTACCAATCTTTGCTGAAATTAATAATTTGATCTGGTACTAGTTAATGGTTCATATTTGTCCCACTATAGTTGTTAACTGTCCAGATGTCTTTGGTGAATTATTAACAGAATTGAAAATCGAGTGCAGAATGAGCTTTCCCCGGTTTTTTTTGAATCCCCCAATAAAAAAAAGAAGGAAAAAAATGATGATTTACTCACTGGATATTGTACTGAGCTGATAGCTATAAAATTTGTCATAATGTCACAGTCAAGTTTCCTTCAATCCCCACTTGAGTGATCAGTCTCTATAGTGCTGATCTTTTCTACGTTTGTCTTTTTTGAGGCTCATAAAAATGTTGAAAATTAGAATGACATATAGGATGACTGTGTTTACCATCATGATTAAGTGACATCTTTGCTCTATATAGTCAATGCGACATTGTTTTCTCAGTTTACTTTTAGTTGAGCTAAGTGGAAGGAAGAAAGTAGTATTCTTTATTTGAATGATGGATATGCAAAGACTCTGATTTGTGGAAACAAGTTGGCTGAATTGAAGGAGGTTAGGCTTGATGATTCCGCCCTGTTTAACTTGGGACAGGATGACAAAGTGGTAAACAAGGATTAATGTTGTGGGTGAACGTGATCAAGTGGTCTGGTTCGTCATGTAACCAATTGGAAAGTTGACTTCTTGATTGATTTGTTGGAAAGAAGTAACACAATAATCCAAATGAGTTTAGAAGGATTGGAGCTATGAATCAAATTCTTTGGAGTGGTTCCTCATTATTCTTGGAGGGTGGGGAGTGGGTCTAGCATTTGGTTTTGGGAGGGGTTTTCAAGGACTCGGAAGGAAAGATCTTAGCATTGTATTTAGGGCCATTAATAGATGGTAATGCATTGAAAGCAAAGATGTGTGGATTACTCCATGGGCTAAAATTTGCTAAGCAATTCGGTTTCCACAATGTGGAGGTGGAAGGGGACTTGCTTGGACTGCTGCTACAGTAACCCGAACCAACAAGAGGAGGAAGAAGAAGAGGGAGAAGAAGAGAAGAAGAAGAAAGAAAAGAAGGGACTGTCGAATCTGATAGGTAAACCCTATCAGTCGACCYCTTAATAGTTATTAGTCTCTAATCACATTTACAAAGACTAAACTGCCCTTACTTAAGTGTGGGGCAGAGCGTCTCTAATAAGACTGCCACATAAGCAAACAACTTAACAAAGATAAGATGACTAAACTACCCTTATTCGGCTCACTTTAACAGGACTCATAGGTGGTCATTTCATGGACAAGAGGTAGCTCCCAAGTCCCATGGGTCTATAGACTTACTTTTTGGGAAATAGAAATCATATCACAGGAGCTGAATGTTGTCTTTAAATGGGTGAGAAGATCAGCAAATTAGTTGAGGTTTCTCTCATTGGTCGAGGCAAACTGAAATATATTAAGGAAGAATAACCCAAGAGTGGGTGCAAGAAAACACAAATTATGACTTCATTGTAGAACAATTTGGAAAATCACATTAGTGTTAATATTATGTTTTTTGATACAGCAAAAGAGATTTGGGAGAATACTAGGCAACTTTACTTCGAACAAGACAATGTTACAAGAACTTATCAACTGTATCAGGATTACTTCACTCTTCAGTAGGGAGATAAAAGTGTGGAAGAATATTATTCTGCTTTGAAGAGCCTAAGGAATTAATTGAATGTTTATCAGCCTCTCTCTACAGATTTTTTTTTGATAGATAGTCTCTCTCTACAGGTTTGAAGGTGCAACCAAGGTTCAAAATTTCGTAATGTATCGGACCGTATCGGCTGATACGTATCGTTCCAGTACAAGTCCGATATATGGAACACATAGAAATTATCTGTAGCGTTCCTTTTCATATGTCTCGGTCTGTATCAGACTGTTTCGGGCCCTGTATCGGACTGTTCTGGGTCTGTATCTACCAATACGGTTCCAAAAAATCCGATACAGAATGATACAAGTCCCCTTCTCTCTCATTAATTTCATTAAATTATATTTAGGGCCGAATTACCTCTCATTAATTTTATATTTACTCCTATATTTAAGTGCAGTTTCTCTCTCACTAATTAGTTAATTACTCCTATAATTAATGCATAATGCCATAATTTTAAATTCAAATTTCAATTTTAGCGCCTAGTTGGAATTCTCTTCTCATTTGTTTCGTTAATTAATAACCCTCTTTCTCATTAAATTCATTTTGTTAGTATAAAACTACAAACTTAGCAATAGCAAGATTCAAACCCTAGCCATTAGGCTTTAACAACTAGAGGTTCACCACTAAGCCACGCCCATTTGCTTGCTATAGGTTTATGAATTTTTATTGTTAAGTAAATTTTCTCTTTTCCTTAGTGTATGCTTATCAATAAATGTTAGAATTAATTATTAAAATTTATGTATTAATAAATACTAAGATAATTTATATTGATTATTTTAAAACTAATGTATATCAATATACATTTTAGTTTTTTTTTTCTTTTGTTTTTTCACGTTTTAGTTATTCCATCGTTTGTCAATAGTTACTAAGTGTGTCCCGATATCTCGAATTTTATATAGACCATTAAATTACAGTTTTTTTTTTCTTTTAAATAACTTATTTACAATCACATAAAACTTGTAACTATCGTTATTAATATATTTTTTAGAATTTATTTGAGTTTTTTAGCATATTTATGCATATATTGATTTTTCGTCTGTATCAATACGTATCCAAAGCGTATCTTGATACATCTCTTAAAATTATTTTTCCAATACACTTTACGTTTCCGATACTTTAAACCTTGGGTGCAACAAAGGCAAGGAGAACATTTGGATGTTGCTAGATTTCTATCAGGGCTTAGGTCTGAGTTTAAGCTAGTGAGAGCTCAGATTTTAGAAAGCAGTGATCTTCCTTCTCTTTTAGAGGTGTTTTCTCGCATTAGGAGAGCATCCACCCCACATAGTGAGTACATTGTTATGTTAATCGGCCTTAGCAGTTACTAGAGGTGGTGGTAGTTGAGGCTTTTGTGGAAGAGGTACAAGTAGAAGTGTCGGTTGTGGATTTAGGGGTGGTCGCATTGTTTTAAAAGCGCAAGGCACAAAAAAACTGCAAGGGCCAATTTGCGCCTAAGGCGCAAGGCGAGGCGCAAAATTACAAAAAATGCTAAAAAATAAAAAATGCCAAAAATTTTTAGGAAAGTGCAAAAAATTAAAAAAAAACCTATTATCTAAGATTAAAATACATAAACATAACATGTAAAGTGTATTTAAATGAAAAATTAAAAATAAAAGCAAACATATAAAGCATTTTCAAGCATGTAAAACCCACAATCTCTTTTTTTCATCAATTGCATTACTTCAAGTAGCTAATGTGATGTAAAACATATTGCATTCCTCAATTCGCCTTGCCTGTGTGCCTAGGTGCGCCTCAGGGACGCCTTTTAAATCACTGGTGGTCGTAGTATTGGGAGGGAAGGAAGAGATAGTGATAGGAGTAGTAGTAGATGTGGTCATGTCTGTGAGTGTTCCCACTTTGGCCGAGGTCATACAACCAATTTTTGTTATGACTTGCATGGCCCACCTTCTTCTTGGGCTAACCATGTCATGGTAGAAGATGACACTAGCAACAATGTTCCTATTGATGAATCACCTACTACAGAGTGGGTAAGGATAAGGAGTTGGTTATGATTACCCATGGTTTTGAAAATCGGACCAGGCCAGATGGTTGGACCGATTGACTCGAGAACAGGTCATGGCTCCAGGTCTGGTTTTGGGCCCCAAAACTGTCCGACTTGGCTTCAAACCAAATGGTTGGACTGTTTGACCTAGGAACCGATGGCCAAAACAACTCTGTTTCAAGTCCGGTTTTTAAAACCATGCCATCACCCATGAAGAGTATGAAAGGCTTCGTCTATCTTCTTCTAGGACTACCGCTACCCTTGCCAATTTAGGTACAACTTGTCTTGCTTCCGGTTCTAAATCTACACCTTGGATAATTGACTTTGGAGCTTTAAATCATATGACTGGAACTTCAAACTTGTTTATGTCTTTGTTCCTTCCTATCTCTCAGATTGTAACTTTAGTTGTTGGGTCATCCTCCTTTGTTATGGGTAATGGTAATGTGTCTCTTGGTTTTGACCTTCATTTAACATCTGTTTTTTATGTTCCAAAATTTCCTCATCCTTTTGTCTGTACCAAGCTAGCTCAATCTCTTAACTTTTCTATTACCTTTTATCCATCCTATTGTGTTTATGAAGATCTTATGACAAGGAAGATGATTGATGGAGGATGTGAAGTTGGAAGACTATACTACTTGGATAACGATGGTCCACAAATAACTCTTCACTCATCTCTCCTTATCAGTGGCATTGCCATCTGAGTCATCCCTCCTTTCATGCTTTGAAGAAATTAGTCCCTAGTTTAGAGTCAATCACTTAGTTGGAATGTGAATCATGTCAACTTAGAAAACATTGTAGAATTCATTTTGTTCCCAGGGAACATAAAAGAGTCACAAGTCCTTTTTCTCTTGTTCATTTAGATGTTTGGGGTCTTTATCGTGTGTCGTCTTACAATGATTTCAAATATTTTGTAACCTTTATTGATGACTATTCAAGAATGACATGGATTTATTTAATGAAAGATCGTTCAAAGCTATTTTCATTTTTCTTTCTTTTCATTCTGAAGTACGAAATCAATTTGGTGTATGTATCAAAGTGTTTCATTCTAATAGTGCCAAAGAATATTTTCATGGTTGTTTTAAGTCTTACTTTGACTCTCATGGAATCATACATCAATCTTCTTGTACTTACACACCTTAACAAAATGGGCTGGCTGAATGGAAGAACCACCATGTTATAGAAGTTGCTTGTGCCTTATTGATTCAAATGTTAGTTCTAAAAATCTATTGGAGTGATTCAGTTCTTACTTCTTGTTTTCTTATAAATTGAATGCCTTTTTTTGTCCTCTAGGGTCAGGCCCTATTCTCTGTTTTGTATCCATATGGTTCCCCATTCTCTCTTCCTCCTTGTGTTTTTGGGTGTGTCTATTTCATTCGTAAATTGGGTCCCAACCATGAAAAATTGATTCTCGATCTATTAGGTGTGTTTTTCTTGGTTACTCTTGTACTAGAACGATATAAGTTCTATGATCCTACCCTCCCTAAGGCCTTTGTTGTTTTTGATGTTACCTTCTTTGAGAGATTACCTTATTTTTCTGGGAGGGAACCCTTACCCTCTATTCCTCTTTCCATGGGTTATGGTAATGCCTTTATCCGTCTTCCCACAACTGAGGAGCCTCTTCGCACATCAATTCATAGACTGTATTCTAGATGGGATCAGGAACTTGTACAAGCATCAACCTTCACCCCAACTTTGGCTTCTGACTCTCTACCAATATTTCCACCATCGATGGATTCTCAATCAGATCTTGATCTTCCTATTGCTCTTCGTAAGGGTAAGCATGCTTGTACCAATTATCCCATTCCATGTTATGTCTCCTTTAATCACTTATCTCCTGCACATCAAAAGTTTGTGTCTCTCTTGTCTTCTGTTTCCATTCCCAACTCTGTTTAGGAAGCTCTTGCCTCACCGGATTGTAAGACAACGATGGATGAAGAACTTCATGCTCTTTAGTCCAACCATACATGAGATCTTGTCTCCTTGCCTCCTAGAAATCAAGTAGTCGGTTATTGATGGGTGTATATGGTCAGGCATTGACAAGATGGTAGTATTGAGAAGTTTGAGGCATGACTAGTGGCAGGGATATACTGAGACATATGGTGTTGGTTACTCAGAAACCTTTTCCCCTATTGCCAAAATGGGTGGTTATTTCATTAGCCGTTAATTATGACTGGCTTATCTTTCAATTTGATGTGAATAATGCACTCCAAAATGGTGACCTCCATGAGGAAGTATATATGGAGCAACCTCTTGGTTATGTTGCTCAGGGGGAGGTTGGAAAAGTGTGTAAATTGCGGAAGCTATCTATGGATTGAAACAATCACCAAGGGCTTGGTTTGGCCAATTTAGTAGTGTGGTACATGAGTTTGGCTTGAAGTAGTGTAGCGTTGATCACTCGGTGTTTAGCAGAAGCACTTCATCTGGGAGGATTGTTTTGGCTGTGTAAGTTGATGATCCTCACAGGTAGTGATGCACAATGAATTATTGAAATAAAGCAATTCTTGCAGCAACATTTTCAAATTAAAGGATCTAGGCTCCTTAAAATATTTTTTTTGGGTATTGAAGTTGCATACTCAAAGTGGGGAATTTCCCTATCAATGGAAGTATGTCCTGATAGTTCCTTCAGTGTGTGTGTTGTGTTAGTTTATCCATACAGGCCTGAGCAAAAGAGGCAAAGTCTACTGGCAAACGGTGTTACATGCAGTTATGTGGGGAGTTTGGGAGGAAAGAAAAGGAAAGAAACAAGCACTTATTTGATAACAAGATCAGATCCCTTGAAGAGTTAATCTCAGATATTTCCTTTCTCTGTAATCTCTGGGCTGCTAATTCAGAGCTGTTCCAAGGCCTCTCAATCGATGACCTTAAAAGAAATTCAAACAATTCTGCTCCTTCCAAACTTCCCTCAAACCATCCAGAGACAGCCTGTACTATTTAATGAAGGAGGGATGACTTTAAACTTCGATGGAAGTGCTACAGGCAATCCTGGCTTAGCTGGAATTGGGGGTATTTTGAGGGATGAATTGGGTAGTATATGCTGGGTCTTCAGTGGCCCAATGGGCTATGCTGACTCAACTAAGGTTGAAGTGATGGCTGCTCTGACTGGAATCAGAATAGTAAAAAGTTTGGGTATTCAGAATTTATCTATTGTAGGAGATTCAGAAAATGCCATTAAAAGGACAAGGTGGGGGGTCCTTGGAGGTTGAGTCATTATCTGGCAGAGGCAAGAGATTCCTTGGAATATTTAAATGCAAACTTGCTTTGGATCCCGAGGGAGCTGAATCACATTGCAGATGGATTAGGAGCAGGATTAGAAAATCTGTATAGCAATAGGCTTCCCCCCTTGTACGCTTCTTAGGGTTTTTCCCTGTGTAGTACATCTGCCCATGCACTCTTTGCTTCTTTTAATGAAATTTGGTTAATCTTTCCTCAAAAAAAAAAAGAAAAGAAAAACACACAAGTCCAGTACTTCCCATTGGTAAGGTGTAGAGAGAGTGTTGAGGTATCTGTGGTGCTTTGGGATGTGCTCTACTGTATAAGAAAGGGGGAGAATTGTCTTTTGAAGGGTATTCCTTAATGGACAGGAAGTCTACTTCAGGATATTGTACATTCTTTTGTGGGAATCTTATTACTTGGAGAAGCAAGAAGCAAAGTGTAGTTTCCAGTAGTAGTGCTGAAGCAGAGTATAGAGCAATTGCACACACCACTTGTGAATTAATTTGGTTGAAACATCTCCTCCAAGAGATAGACATTCCTATTGACAAGCCAATCAAGTTATTTTGTGATAACCAAGCTGCCACTCAGATTGCTTCAAACCCAGTCTTCCATGAAAGAAGTAGGCATATTGAAGTTGATTGTCATTTTGTGAGGGAAAAGGTGACACATGGTACTGTGGTTACACCATATGTGAGATCAGAGGATCAACTAGCTGATCTGCTCACCCAAAGCTTAAGCCACACTTGAATGGATTACATTTGTAACAAGCTGGAGCTTTATGATATTTATGCTCCAGCTTGAGGGGTAGTGTTAAAGTCTAGTTGATAGGGGCAGTTTTGTCCTTATATACCTTTGTTGTTAGTCTATTTGTTCAAATATCTTCTTAAGGGCATTATTGTAATTTCTGTCATCTTTAGAAGCTTAGTATTACTTGGGTCGATAGTGAGAGAGTTAAGTTCGATACTCTCTCTCTTGAAAACCTTTTTTTCATCTTTTCTCTTCTTCTTTTCTTATGTATTTTCTCTATCAACTGAACATTTCTACTGTGATTTTCTTTCTTTTTCGTTCATCCATTTTTAAAGTTTTTTTTTTTTTTCTAAGTTAATAGAGAGGAAGAGGAAGGAAGAAAACTTGAGAAAGGCTTCTGAAGCATTAGGAGGAGAAATTTGGGATGAGGAAGGAGGCCTAGAAGAGTTTGGTGAGGTGGAATATTTACCTGAGCCTAGTCATTGCTTTGTTGGTGATGCAGTTGATGCCACGAGTGGTTTCATATCCTGTTTTCTCTCCCTGTTTTCTGTTCTAGGCAGTTAGTAGGAGTTGTTGTTGTTGGGTTTGGAGGGTGTTATCTTAACACCTGCCTTTAGGTTGTATTCAGTATTTTCTTTTTTAATAAAGTTTTCTGATACTTATAAAAAAAGTAATGGAAGCTAGTCCTCTTTTTATCCATATATCATCTATAAGAGGGCTGGATATTCAAAATGAAGAGGCTACCTGAAATATATTTGGGCCACTTTCTTTTTTTCCCATTTGTTTGAAACTTCTACTTTGGTTAATGAAACATCCTGTTATGTGCAAAAAAAAAAATTTATGTTGGTGGTAAATTTATTCTTTCTTATATTGTGCATTTATTGCTGAATTTCTTTGATAATAGTGACATCTTTTTTTTTATCCAGATGTATTTCTTGGAGCTTCATCTATATTTGTGTTTCACTCAATGAAATTGCTATTGCTTAAAATTCTCGGAGTTTCATCACAAATCTGATGACTTTTATTGTTGTTTTAGATGAGCAAAATGAGCATATTGAATTAATTTGCGATGAAGAGAAATCACCTGAGAATAATATGGCTTCTATTGAACATTTTGAAGTTGGGACTCTGGCTGTTGATTTTGAGGATTTCCAGGAGGTTGGTTTGATAGATCTGTAAATATTTCTTTTTATTTAAGGAACTGATCCCTATATTATAGATTGTTTCTTTCATGGAAAATGGTGTTTTGTTCTTCCTTGTGGATTTTGTTTATATATTTATTTTCGATAAATAACAGCATTGTATTCTCAGCAGAGAAGAAAACCCACATCTATCCAGAATAGACAGCAGGGACAGTACAAAGGTAGCAAAATAGCTGATTACATAAAACTATACAAGATTCTATTCAGGATATAAATGGACCCCTGGCCCAGGCATTCTCCATAGAACCCCTTGAGAGTTGACCCAAGCTCGAGCTAAACTATCTGCTCAGGAGTTAGCTGATCTAGGAATCCACCTGAACAAGCAGTTCAGGTTTCTCCCAGGTTTTGGCCTCCCTAACCAGTACTCTGAACATCCAAGCTGGTTCTGCATCAGAGTTAAGACATGGGATAACAACTTTACAGTCACCTTCAATGATCACCCCCTTCCAATTCTATAGTGCCAGCAGTTTAAGTCCTTGTTTTACTGCTAATGATTTGGCCCTTGAAAAGATACCAGCACCAATTTCACCACAGAAGCTTATCTTCATCGAGTCAGTTTCATCCCTTACCAGACGACCAACCCCTGAATCACCCAGGTTACCCAAGCAGCAGCCTTCAAGATGGAGCTTGAGACTGCTTGCTAGTGGTGGCTGCCAAGCGATTAATCTCCTTGGTCTGCCCATTGGGATACCAACATTGAATTGCCATCCTTAACAAATCATCCATTTTATTGTCTCTTAATTCCTCACATGCTATCAATCAATGGGCCACCTTTACCTTGATCAGATCAGTCAAGACTCCCACTCCTACCGCCTTATTATCAAACACTGTTGCATTTCTTTTCCCCCAGATGCACCACAGAATTGCTGCCCTAATACAATGGTTCAACAGTTTCATTCTTCTAGTGTAACAGCTGAACAGATCTTGTGAGAATAACTCTATGGCATTTTGGGGAGAAGCCCAAGACTTCCTAAACAAATTAAAAAAAATAATTCCAAATCTGGCTAGTATAATGACAAGGTAGAAAGATATGGCTTGAGATTTCACATTTTGGAGACATAGAACACTCACATGTGGAGATAAACACCATGATTTGCTCTTCCTTTGGAGTCTATCACAAGTGTTAATGATTTGGAGAGCAGCTTCCCAACAGAAACCTATGGAGGGGAGGGACTTATCAAAATGGGCTTTGAAGGAAAAGAGGAAGTGAGAGGCTGGGATTGGGCAGTATCAAGCAATCTGAAAAAGGAAGAAATGAAGAAAGAACCAGAAGGGCATGGAATCCAAATTCTCTCATCCTGTCCAGAAAAACAAATGAAAACAGGATTCAGATTTTGCAAGAAATCTAACAGGTCTTTTGGCTCCCAATATTTGAACATCTCCTAAATCTCAAATTCCAAGAGATGTTGTCATTTTCAAGGGTGGCCATATCAGCAACGGTTTTATTTTTATGCAAGAACAGGCTATACAAGCGAGGGTAAGCACAAGAGAGGGGAGTGCCACTCACTCACCCCACCATATGTCTTCCCAAAATTTCACTCCCACCCGTTGGAGCATATCCCATGAATGATTTTGATTACCAAATGCCACAAAGAATTGATCACAATGGGAAACCTCCAAAGTCACTTCCCAAACCAGGAGGTTATAGAAAGTAGATTTTATAAGAGGCAACCTGCCTCCCATAGAAATATAATTTCTTCCAAGCCACCATTTTTTTTGTAAACCTTTCTATGACATCTTCCCGAAAGCCTAGATCTTGTGGAGAGCCTCCTACAGGTAACCCATGATATTTGATCAGCCAACTCTTTATTATTACACCCTAAAATGGCTGGACTCTTCCTTAGCTCCCTCTGCTCTAAATGAATCCACACTAAGTCCCTTTTAGAACAATTGACCTTCAACCTAGATACCTTCTCCACAAGCTCAAGGATTCCCTTCACACCGGTTGGCTATCGTTCAAGCGGTCCATTCATTTGAGACTCTTCTCTAACCTGGTCTGCATTAGGGCCAATATAGGAATTTCACTCCTCAACTAAGAACTTAAGTGGCAATCTTCAATCTTCTTTCGTTCTCCACATATCTTTCTCCTTGGCTGAAAATTTCTTCATTTGTTTATCACTCCTACCTTGAGCTTTGTCAGATTCCTCAGTTCCCCCTGAATGGGAAACATTAACCTATCTCATACTGATCTGGTAATTTTATTGTTCTCCTCTTCCCCATAGAAATCTTCCCATCTTTGGTATTTCTTGTTGCATTCTCTCAGAAACCTCTTTTGCAACTCAGCTGTGCTGATCACCTGTTTGCTTAGTGCAGGTATCAATGTTGACCACTCCTGCTTTTGGCCTTGTACATTTTCTGTCATCATCATCAGCACCGGTGACCTAAGGTGTGAGCTTCATTCCTTTACATCTAGTATTTCAACCCTGATTTGAATGTTGTACTCCCCGAATCAGTTAAACCATGTGAGGGATCTTCTACCTATCTTTAGCTTGAACAAGAATTGCTGCTGCTTGAAGATTAGTAAGGGTTCCAGTTTCCCTTGCAACACCAATGAAACAACCACATGAGTTCCAACTAATTTCCAATGTTATCGAGTTCCACAAATGAAAAGGTAACCAGTAACCCAAATAACTGATCCCTACTTCCTTGCTACTCCAGTTTTCGAGTCCTATTTTCCTTACTACTCCAGTTATCGAGTTCCATTTTTTTTTAAACCATATCTCCCTTCTCTTGAAGCTCCACATAAATTAGGGCTGCTTGGATGCTGAATTCAAGTGGGTGAGAAGTTAGGGATGCAAACATATCGGATTGGATTCGAATAGGGTATATTTGAATCCAATCCGATGATCTGATTGGATCTCACAAAGGTCAATTTGAATTCAAATCTGTTAAGGATGTTGGATATAGAACAGTCCTCTTGAAGTATAGGACTGCTTGAGATTAGATGCAAAACCAGAAAAATGAACAAGAGAAGATTAAGAAGTTGAGAGAGAGAGAGAGCTGGCGGCAATGAGAGTTAGAGAGTGAGAGGTTCGAACTAAACCTCCCTCTAACACTCTAAACATTTTATTAAGTTAATCTTTAAAATATTACAGAGAGTCCCTTGAGTGGGCAAGAAATTACAGAAACAGAACATTACAGAGTATGGGCCCAGAATAGGGCCCATTACAGAGGGAAACATAAACATAACATGAAATAATAGTCTATGGGCCATTCGGCCCATCTCCTCTACACTCCCCCTCAAGCTGAGCATAGATGTTAATCATGCCCAGCTTGCCAGTGTCATGTTGAAGCCTTGTCTTGGAAATACCCTTGGTGAGGAAATCTGCCAATTGTCCTTCTGAAGTAATAAATGGAAGACACACTTCACCAGAAGAGACTCTTTCTCGAATAAAGTGTCTATCAACCTCAATATGTTTGGTTCTATCATGTTGTACTGGGTTGTGAGCAATGTTGATGGCAGCTTGATTATCACAGTACAACATCATGGGTTTGTCATGATCAATCCCAAGTTCTTCCATTAAGGACCTTAGCCACAACAATTCCGAGACTCCATGTGCCATGGCTCTATAYTCTGCTTCTGCRGAGGATCGRGCCACAACTRWTTGTTTCTTACTCCTCCAAGAGACAACATTACCAGCCACCAGACTGCAATACCCTGAAGTAGATCTTCTATCATCAATATTTCCAGCCCAATCAGCATCAGTATAGGCTTCAAGTTTCAGATGACCATGCTTGGCGAATAGAATTCCTTTTCCTAGAGAGCCTTTCAGATAGCACAAAATCCGTTCTGCTGCTGCCATATGAGTATCTCTAGGAGCATGCATGAACTGACTAATACAACTGACAACATACGTAATATCTGGCCTAGTTATGCACAGGTACAGAAGCTTCCCAAGAAGTCTCTGAAAGACCCCTTTGTCTCCAACAATGTTCCATTCGAAGATGAAAGTTTGTGACTCATATCAATGGAAGTTGCAGCTGGTCTTGCACCCATTTTTCCCGTTTTAGACAACAAATCAAGGACATATTTCCTTTGGGAAATAAGAATCCCATCCTTGGATCTAGCAACTTCTATGCCAAGGAAGTATCTCAACTCCCCCAGATCCTTAATCTCAAATTCTGTACGGAGGAAAGACTTAAGGGCCTGAATGCTTGAGGCATCATCACCAGCCACTATAATGTCATCAACATACACAATGAGATACACTGCTGGAGATCCACTTTTCTTCACAAAGAGAGTATGATCTGACTGTGTCTGAACATAGCCGAATTTAACAAGTGCAACTCTAAATCTCTCAAACCAGGCTCTAGGAGATTGTTTAAAGCCATAAAGTGATTTCTTCAATTTGCATACCTTTCCTTGCATATCTTTCCCATACATTCCTGGAGGGAGACGCATGTAGACCTCCTCATGTAAGTCACCATTCAGAAATGCATTTTTTACATCTAACTGATAAAGAGGCCAATCAAAGTGAGCTGCTAGAGATAAAAGAACCCTCACAGATGTCATCTTGGCAACAGGGGAAAAGGTCTCCAGGTAGTCAATCCCATATGTYTGTGTGTAGCCTTTTGCAACAAGTCTGGCCTTGTACCTCTCAATAGTCCCATCAACCCTGTATTTAATGGTAAAGACTCACTTGCACCCAACTGGATCCTTCCCTTCAGGCAAATCCACCACCTCCCAAGTATCATTCTTGTGTAGAGCATCTATTTCAGACTTCATGGCATCTCTCCATTCTGGAATCCCAAGAGCTTCTGACACAGGCCTAGGAATGGGGTTAGAAGCAACTGAAGAGAGGTAAGCAAAGTATGAAGGAGAAAGTAGATCATAGGAAAGGTGTTTGGAAATGCAGTGTGCAGTACACTTCCGCTTTCCTTTCCTAACAGCAATGGGGACATCAAGATCCGAGAATGATGGTTCCAAAGGGGCTGAAGCAGTACCTGTTATCTCAT